CCAAATGAAGAAGACATATTGAGGCAGCTCAGCTAACCCTTTTAGACCAAAGTAAGTACTCATGAGCCTTCTGTTCCCATCATAGCCAATGTGTCCCTATAATGAGGACAGAAACCTGTGCACATCTTCAAACCCCCTTGACCACTTCCTCTTAAATGGAGCCCTACCTCTGCCAAATCACTCCTTCACTTTCAGACTTAGATGAAACAGTCCATTGTGGAGCAAAGGAGCTGGCCCTTCTGCATAGCTGTTGAGGGTCTGGCTGGTGCAACCTGGAAGGGAAGAGAATTTGCTTTCTCTGGGGTGAACCCTGAGCAGGAGGAACAGGAAATGGGAAATGAGTGAGACAGATATTTTCTCCCTCTTCATTTGTACCTCTTGCCACTCCAGGATGTGGTTTCTCCTTGCAACCCTCCTGGCAGATGTCCTGCATGCTGAATGAACAAACCTACTCTGTCTCTGATCGCTTTGTAGCTCACTGTGAAACAGCTACCAAGGTGGCATACACTGCATCACATCACTTTCATCTTCCTTGTTTCATTTCTTTTTTTTTCTTTTACTCTCCCTGCTTTGAGCTTGTATCTCCCCAAAAGAAAGTCAGCAACTTAATCCTTGCTTCAGGATCTATTCAAAACAGTTCCCTTTACTAATCATCATACTTTATTATTGAGACTTGGAGTTCCACTTCACAGAATGGAGTACAAATAACAACTTTCCTATAGTCTCTCTACATTCATTACTTGAGCTCTCATCTGCTCACTTCATAGAAAGTCTTCCTTTTTTCTGGAATCTTCCTCAATGTCTTATTAACATACAGAAAGCCAGACCTGGGCATTCTCATATCACTAATGGAATCAGGACAACCTCTTGACAATGGAGAACTTCATAACAAATACAAGAAGTTGATGTTGTTGGCTAGTGGGGCACACAACTACCTAGTTAAACTATATTTCTCAGCATCTTTTGCTTCTAGGTAACCACATGATGACATTCTATCCAATAGAGTAGAGGTATCATAAGTCACACTTCCAGCCCTTGCTTTGAAAATATATATCCAGGCCTTTCCTTCCTCCTTTTAGCTGAGATGGAGAGAAACTAGAGCAGCTCTCTTGTCCTGAGACTGGTGACACAAGTTGAGAGTAACAGCTGCTCAAGATTCCCTGGACACCTTACCTCTACAATGTTACATAACAATACCATAAACTTCCATCTTGCTAAAGACATTTTATGGGAGAAGGGTCCTCTTTAATTATAGCAACATAATCTGTTCCCTATTTTAAATAACATATATCCAATCCTAATTGCTCTGGAACTATGCTGTTACCAAAATGACAAATTCCTCTGGGGGCCATGTCACAGCTTTTTCTACTGGTGCTACAGTTCTTTGTCACCATCAGCAGAAACATCAGCCTTCTGAAGACATGTTCTATGCCATTCACAAAGCTCCTATTTTCGGTCATTAAGCAAAATAGGAAGAAACCAGTCCTCAGGGGAAGACTCTGCTGGTTACTCATTGTCTACCCAATGGTCATTCTCCTTTTCTCCTTGCAAATGGAAACTTGATTTTGTAATGGAGTAGCTTTTACCATTACCACCCACCCCAGTATAGATTTTGCCCAAAGCTATTTAAAAAAAAAAACCCTCTTTTCCCCAGCTTCCTTATAATTTGTCTCATGGTGACTTCCAGGAAGGTTTCAATTTCCCACCTTGTCACTTCCTTCTGCTTAAATGAATGGAAGGAGAGCATAGCATCCTGGAGTGAACAGCTATTTTTCCATCATGATACTTAGGATGGCAGAGCAGGATAGAAAGATCCTGAAACAGCCAGGGATTTAGCTCAATGGTTCCACCACCTGCCTTGCAAGCACAAAGTCTCGAGTTTGATCCCTGGGATCCCTGGTACCAAAAAAAAAAAAAAGAAAGATCCTGAAACATTGAGGTTACTGCATTAGCCTTAGACAGCCTCTCCAGCCAGCTTGTTGTATGAGAAAAAAAAAATCCCAATGTGGTTAAATTTCCATGGTCAGGATTCTACTACTTGAAGGAAAAACAGTCTCTAATCAATAGGCTCCTCCGAAAGCCCTAGCGGTTTTTTTTCTTCAAATAATTGTCAAAATATACCTACCACATATGCCTGTAATTCTAGCACTCTGAGAGCCTGAGGCATGAGCCTCACAAGCTCCAGCCCAGCCTGGGCAACATAGCAACTTATCAAGACCCTGTCTCAAAATGCGCACTCGGATATAGCCAGCAAGCTTAAGTCATACTTAAGTTATTTTCCTCCAAAAAATGAACAAAATGAAAGACCTACCTTTCGAATATGCAGTACACTGAAATTACTTGTTTATTGCCTGCATTTCCTCTCATCCATGATTGCAGGAATCATGTTGGCTTTGTTGTCTGCTTTATCCTCTGTGCCTAACATACTGCCTGGCCTATGCCTCCAAACACAAGTACCTTGGGTAGTAGGACTACTAAATCAAGGAACTCAAACACATTGTTATCTACTTATGTGAATTACTCATTATTGGGATGCAACTCATTTATACATTTATTCATTCAACTAGTACTAGTCGATTGCCCACTCTGCTATAAACATAGTGAAATTAATTAAAGATCCTGTCATGAGTAAGACAAAGCCACTATCCACAAAGAGCTTATATCTTCTAATGGGAGAGACAAGCAAAACCTAAATGGAAGGAGTTTCAGAAAGTGGTATGATGGGAAACGGAGCTACTTTACTAAGAGTGTTCAGGGAAGGCAATATTTAACCATGATTCACTGCCACTCCATGAACATGGCTTAAACCTGAATCATTTCAATCTAAAACTGCCCAAGTCCTGGAAAATTATTATTCTGTAATGACTAGCAAGGGATGATCCTGCAGTTTCCCTTGTTTGAATTTAGGATCACATGCATTTCTGAAGAAAACAGAGAAAGGAGGGGAGGAAGGAATTTAATCCCACTATTAAGCAGCCTTCCTCTTCTAAGGCCAAAAAGAGACATTCATGTGGGTTAACAAGGAGGCCAAAGGACAGGGTCTTCTCTAAAAGTAGACAGCACTGGAAAGAATTGCTTAATACATCATAAGAATCGCCTTCTTCTATGTTCAAAAGAATGTTCTGTATTTAATTTTGTAGCCCTTGTTTATATTTCAAACTCTCCAACAGCCTCAATCACTGTTATTTCTCCAATTCCCTCTGGGTTCTTTGATCTTATTGCTGAGCTGAGCCCCTGGAAAATCCTAGGAGAACCACTAAGACCCCACGTTCTCTGCCCTCTCTCCACCATGGAGCTCCAAAATCACAGTGAGCTGCCCCCTTTAGAATTGGCTCTCATAAGAACTGATGTGAAGAATACTTTTAATTTCTAACATCCAGAGACAGCTAGAATACCACCTACCTCAGGCATTCTAGAAATTAATATCATATGTCCTTATATCTTGAGTGAGCTTGGCAACTTCATGAAGAAAAAAATTTAAACTTGATTATGTTAGTGGAATAGAAATGTTTGGGTTTTGTTTGCTTTTTTTTTTCTTTAGTGTTGGTTAAACAATAATTTGTCTACAATTTAAACACTCATCTCTTTCGTGGTTGTTTATTTTGTAGTACGAGGGATTGAATTCAGGGTCTTCATACTGAGCTACAGCCTCAGGCCTTTTTGAACTTGTTGTTTTGAGACAGGTTCTTCCTAAGTCACTAAGTTGCCCAGGCTGTACTCAACCTTGTGATTCTCCCACCTCAGTCTCCCCGAGGGCTGGAATCCCTTCTTTCAATAGGCGAGTCTGAAGAGACAGGCCCAGGGAGTCAGGAGGGATGGGTGGAAGACGTAGGGGCCCAGGTGAGGGGTATATTGAGAGGGTGACTATATAGATAGTATTTACATTAACCATGCTATCATTCACACAGGGTGGGGACAGTGGAGGTCAAGACAGGTTGAGGCAACAGAGCCCAACAGGATGCAAAAGTGAAGGTGGGTCTTGGGTGCTGACCCCGAACTAGATCCACACGGAGAGTGAGGCCCCACGCACTGGTGTTCCTAGTCCTGGCCTTGGAAAATTCAGTTCCATCACAAATTCAGTTGTCAGTTCTCTTAATCATGACAAATGGGCATGCAAGAGGTGGAAAGCAGGATTGGTGAAGAGTGGGCAGATTTACCACTCAAAAGGAATGGCCCTCATTGTCCTGGCTGAGAACAAACTGTGCCTCGGTTTAGCAGAGATACAACCATTTTTTGCAAAGCAAGAAAAGATGCTGGTTACATTTTTGGTTACAAGAAACTCAGCCTGCCCTCCTTGCCGTCTCCTGCCTGTTCATGCTCTTCTCTCTGCTCCACACCCTGCCAAGCACCTGACTAAAATAATGAGCAGAAGACTGAGGCATGGCTCAGTGGGGCGGGGTCACTTGCCTAGTGTGCTCCAAGCCCTGGGTTTGATCCCCAGCATGGAAAAAAAAAAAAAGTCAAGTATAAGTCACAAAATGAACCAGAGTGGAGAAGATAGGTCTGAAGGTTACAGTGAGAGCAGGATTCTCATAACAGTGAAGACTCCAATAAAGGAGTCAAAGTTGTGACCAAAGATCTGAGCAGACTAGAAAAAGCCTCTGTTCTAGTTACTTTTTCTCTTGTTGCTGAAACAAAATACCCAACACTCAAAGTTAAAGGGGAGAGGGTTTATTTAGCTCATGGTTTGCAGAGGTTTTAGTCCATAATCGGCTGGCTTCAAGGCAGGGGGGCATCGCAGAGGAGAAACAGTTCCTGGTGGCCAGAAGGGAGCAAGAGCAACAAAGGAACCTTAACAGCGTCTTTCTGCCCCTTTTATCTTACCCACACTACCAGGATTAGGGCGCTGCCAAATCAATCAGTGTACTTTTTAGTAATCACACACCCTTAATTGAAGTATCACTCACTCCAGATCAAGCCACCTCTGAAAAAGCCACCTATGACAAGAGGCTTTGGGGGGACATCTAGACCCAAATTATAACAGCTTCCCTATGACTTACCCTTGTATCCCACCTGTGAACTCTGAGATTTCAGATGTGCTCTGCTTTTTTCTTGGCCTTAGCATAAGGGCTGGTATTTCTCCTGCTGGCCTGTCACCTCCTAAAGGACAAAGGTCACCTCTCCTCTTCCCTGAAGACACAGTAGGTCCTTACACAGAGTAGGGACTGCTGTGTAAGATCCAAGGGCACTTTGAATAGAGAGACTCGATGCAAGGACACTGGAGTGGGTGAAAGCCAGAATTCTACACAGGCAAGGCCACGAGGTGGGTTGAGCCCAGGAAGAGGGTACTATCCCACTGGAGCTATAGGAGCAGCTTATGTAGGCAACCGGTTGGAGGCAGCTAGGGTTCCTTGCTCTCTGTGGATTGGCTAATTTGAAAATTTTGGCTAGCTTCAGAGCATGCACAGAGGCTGTCCCTAATTGCCTGGTACCTGGCCTAAGGACAGTGGCGGGCAACTTTTAGAGTTTCCAGTGATACCAACAGACTACTGAGGTACTCGTGCCATAAGTTGACCACCACTGCTTTAGGGGGACTAGGGTGAGTGTAGAGTGGCCTGGAGTCTGAGATGAGGATAAGGAAGAGGTTGGTGGTGAGGACAGCTCAGAAAAGTAAAACTGGTGGTCATCTAGCTGGGCCTCAAAACTGGGTCAAGACAGAGTTTACAACAAAATCTGCCTTACAAGCACTTCGTTACTATTTGCTGAGTTACAGCACTGAGTTGTAAAACCTGAGATTCCTTTAAGGGGAGGCTTGACATGGAAGTGCTCCAGAGAGAGGGATGCCCCTCTAATCTCAGCCACCCTGGAAAGGAAGGGCCGGGCCAGGAGTCCAGCACCAGAGAAGCTTTGGGAGGTGCCACTAACACCAGACTCGAGGTTTTGTTCTTTTGTCCAAGACCAAGTTTGGCCTAAGGAAGAGCAATTTAAAGGAAATAACTGGTGGATAGAGTGATAAGCAAGTCCACAGAATAAGTTCTGTCGTAGGTGCTTGGGAAGACAGAGCAAGATGAACCAAGAAGCAAAAGTCCTTCTTCTTAAAAGCATACAAACTTTCTGTTTCTTTCACTGACTCCCTTAAACCTGTTAAAATGTTCTAATGAGGAGGGTGTGGCCACGTGACTGGGGAATTGGGCGTGATCTGCCAAGTGCAGAGACCTGTTAACCACGACCAGAGCAGCGGCTCCCAAGCCCTGCACCTGACACCAATCTTCTATCACAAGGACAAGCCAGGCTTGGCACCTGATACCAATCTTCTAGCACGAGCTCAAGCAGGGTTTTGCCAGGTTTTGGAGGTTTTGGAGCTAATGTCAGAAAGAAGCTATAAAAGACGACAGCCAGTAGCTTTACGGCTTCTGCCCTTTTGTTTTTGCGAGCGGTAGCCCATTCTGCATACCGAGCCTATCTTTCTTTCAGGACGCTTTTTCTCTTGGGCCGAGATCCTTTGCGCTGTTATTGGGCAAGTCATTTGCAATGCTATTGGTTTTCAAAATACTGGCCCCTACCCTTTCTGTACGGAATCTATCAAAACCAGGAACGAAAAGTTTCCCTTCTCTAGAAAATCAGATCATCCGCACACGGGGTGCGCCTGTTATATTAACAGCGCCGCCGCTTCACTGAAAGGACATCCAGTAGTTCCCTTTACCTAATTCCAAGTTTGGAATAATTTTTCTCAGTAAACCATTTTTATATACAATGGGGTACTACTACCTTAGGATAAACTGGAGACATTTTTAGATAAATGGATGCACCTTGAGACCATACTTTTAAATGAAACAAATTGGATATACGAGTTTAAACATCACAGTTTCTCTTGTGTGAAGAACCAAAAGTGCAAATAAGGACTAAAATGGATGACATTTGGGGAAGTAGGAAGACAATGTTCAAATGGGAAGGGGAATGAGGGAGAGGGGAAGAAAGGGAAAAGGAAACTGGAAGTAAAGCTTTCGTAAAGGAGGAGAAAGGTGGAAGAAGGGAGGTGAATGGGGGAAAAAGTAATCAAGATGTACTATGTACAGGTACAAATTCTCTACAATGAATGTGATCATTATGTAGAGTACTAATACAATTTTTTTTAAAAACCTGTTAAAGATGCTGAAAGAGACACAGGGAAAGACATGTTAACTGAAGCCTGACAAAGAAATCACGTGATACCATTTATAGGAGGTTCATAGAACAGGCAAATTGATACAGAAAGCGATTCCCTGGGGGTGGGGGAGGAAGTGGTGGGGAGTCAGTAGCTAATGGGTACACAGTTTCAGTTAAAATGTGAGTACTTAATGTCACTGCACTGTATGCCTTAAAGTAGTTAAAAATCTTAAATTTGTTGGTATTTATCACAGAAGGGGGAGGAAAGAAAAGAGAAAAATGGAAGTATCCAACTATCAGATCCACCTTTTAGTCTTAGAGGTTTGATTGTTGCTTACTCTGTGCTAAGCCCTTGCCATTTAATCTTCACAACACAGAGCTGCGGTTTGACTTTAGATGAGAATTCAGAGGTTCAGAGAGGTTAAGTCAGTTTCCTTAAGCCGCACAGCAGAGCCTGTTCTTTGTTCAAAGTCTATGCTTTTAGCCACTTCTTTATGCTGCCTCTTCATTCCAGCCAAATCTGTCATTTCTGAAAAAAGCAAATTTCAGAATAACCTGTTATATCTTCAAGCTCTTTCATTTTGTGCTTTCAAAGATGGCAAATGAAAATAACTGCCACATAAACCCACAGTCTTCCCTGTGAGGTCTTAGTGCTTAGAAGATGCTGTCTTAGGTTTTTCCTTTCGTTTCATAAATCTCTGGCTCAGTGTATTGCAGGATTGAGAACACAGATGAGGAACCCATGTGGAACAAAAAGAGGGAAATAGACTGGGAGGAAAGTGGGTGGCACCCAGGAAAATAAATGTGCCCAGTGTATCTAATTAAATTGCAGGAAAACAAACACAAGTGAAGGCTTGGCGGGACTCTGAGAAGGAATCATACGCTAACGTTCCTCGGGAAAGGGACTAAGGCAAGGATAACACAAACTGTAGGATTTTCTAAAAGCTCATTTATGTCGGGCCTGGGAACATACTTTCTGTATTTATACATATTTCTCTTCAATTTTGGTAGGTTCTACCCAACTGTAGTCTTAAATTTAAAACTCTTTTTAAGACCAAGAAAGCCCTGGGGCTTACAAAAGATGGTTAAAGATGCTGGTGTCCTGACAGCTCCAAGCACCCTTCCAGTCTCAAGGGGAGAAGAGGAGAGCAGTTTGTTGAATTTTCTCTCTCCTGCTGCTCATTGAAGCCAGCTGCTCCATGGGCACCGAGACCAGGCAAATCTGATCCCTGGAAACGTGCGCCACGGGCAAAAGGGTGGGACTGTGAGCAGGAGAAAGAAGCCCTGAGTCACGGAATCGATTCTTCTTTTATCCCATCTTGTGGGCGGAAGTGTGGGAAACGGCTCATTTTTCAGCTTCTTAGTTGGGAGTAACAGGGGTGGGGTGATATTGTGTTCACTTGTAATCAGAACCAAATAAACCTTGGTTTAAACCAGAGCCAGAGCCCCGCTGGGTGGCTGCCCACGGCCCCTTCGTGGCAAAGCTGTCAAGAAAGGCCGGCCCGCCTGGCTCCTCTGTTCCCTCCCTTCTCAATTCTACCACCCCCTCCACCTCCAGGCAGGTGGAGCTCAAATTCTGTGTGCCAGGAAATAGATGTTGGAGGTTTGGATGTTGGTGGGCGACGGGACACAGTAAGAGATGTTCGAGGAATATTCATCCGACAGTGAGGTGTGAGAGTAAGCTGGAGAGGCGAGGAAAGAATGCCACCAGCGGGGGCCCCTGATGCTGCTCAGCTGTGAGATGAAGATTGTTATGGCTTGAACGTGTGCCCTTCCAAAGCAGGTGTTGGAAACTTGATCTCCAACGCTCGTGTTGGAAAATGGGACCTAACAGTATTTAGGTCACAAGGCCTCCACTCTCACGAGTAAACTGATGCTAATGACAAAAATCTCTCCCTGATCTGTGTCCATGGCGTTCTGTAAGAGAAGCACAAAATGGTCTAACTCAGGACTTCTGTCAGGGTTGTAGATATGGGAACAGCAAAAATGGGAAGGGAAAAAGAAAGCTACCTGACCTTAGTAGCCACCTTATGTGGTTGAAGACAGTGTTCAAGGAGGACATCAAGGTTCTGGGCTTGTGTTAGTGACACTGAAGGAACAGGAGCAGCCATGTGGGAAAATCCAGAGGCATAAGTGGTGGAGATGGATTTAGAAAGGAGGGTGATATTTGAGGAAATGGGCTTTTAGGGTAACTTTCAGAAGAGAAAAATCAGTAAGAACTGAAGACCAAACCTTTAAGAATCTGGAGTGATCTGAAGAGAATGGTCAGACAACTCCCTCAGGGACTCTCGAAGAGGATAGTTCTATGTCTTTGGATGGAGCTTGGCTTCCATAGTCCGTGTTGGTCTGCATTTTTGTGGGTGGAAGATTCCGGAGAAAATGCTCTGGGCCAGGATTCCCCTTTCATGCCCTTTACCTAGTTACTTTCAGAGTGGGGGGCCTGGTTCAACCCACCCTTACGCCCCTGGACTCATTGAGTAGCTCCTCACTCCTAGATAATAGCCCAGAGAGACCCAAAGTGTCTGAGGCTTCAGGACAGGGTTCCAGGGCTAGTAACGTCACTGCACTGCTGATTTGGAACCCAGAAGCCAGGTGGAAACCCTGGGCTGGAGATAAGCCTCAGGTGTGGCAGAATTGCAGAGCAGCTGATTTGATTTCTTCAGTGCTTCCAGCTCATTTCCCCTTCCTCCTGGAACAACTCACGTCCAATCCCTCATGCCCCACAGAGGTATAAGCCTCTCTTCACCTTGCAGAATGACCCAGAGTAGGAGTCCTGAGGTGAACAATTAAGGCCCACTTCTCAAGTGCAGCCTTACCTGGGTGATTAGAATGGACGGTCCTGGAAAGATGGATCTGCACTAGATGGGGAAGGGCCCTGGCAGCCCTCCTTGGGCCTCCAGGGGTACTGCTAGAGCTGGGCAGCAACAGCAGTGAGCATCACAGGCCCTGTAGAGAATGAATTCTTAAACTTTTTGCAACCTCTGTACTCTGTGATACCACAGTGTCCCTCACTGAGACAGACACAAGTCTATCAAAACTCCCTGCACTCTAGATGAATCTGACTTCCCAAGCAGCAACCCATTACATACTGCCCAGGGGGCTGTACATAAATGTCACCCCCAAACAGACACCCCTCCACCTCCCAGGAGTCTTGGGTACCTCATAGTGAGGCAATCGTGTACGTTAGCTTGACCAAGGCAGAAGCCTATTTTCCTCCCACTTTCTAGGTGAATCGGATTCAGTTAGTGGTCCATTGACTTATGAACTCATTGGTTGTAAGTCAATACAGCTGAGATCTGGATGTTTACCTGGGCACGTGCTGGAGATAAGAGTCAGATGAATCCATTAACCTAATCAACCCAAGTTGTTCGTATGACAGGCCAGTCATAACTTGTATTGTCCTGACTTAATTTTAATTTTTAACCTAGTTTGTAAAGCACCTATTATAAAAACACTTGGTAGAGATAGTTTTGCTTTCTGGACATGCAATCATACAGGGACCAATCTTATAGCACCCACAAGGTATTGGCCTGGAATGTAGCATTTTATTCCTTGGATAAATATTGTGTTAGCCTATTTGCGTTGGTAGAATACCAGACACTGGACAATTTATTATGATAAGCAGAAATTTTATCAATTTGTAGTTCTAAGGGCTCAGAAAGCTGATGTCAAGTTCTCGGGCACCTGGGAAGGGCTTTCTTGCTACGTTTATCACAGCAGAAGATAAGAGGGGCAGAGAGGGCCGATCTTACTGTTTCATAATGGCACCAATCCCACCCATGAGGATGGATTCCCAATCTCTCAAAAGTCCCACCTCTTAATGCTGTTACCATGGCAATTAAATTTCAAAATGAGTTTTTGGGGGAACAAATATTCAAAACATAGCAACTATATTGTGTCAAGTTTTGTTAATCCCTATCAAAGAACTTTGGGGGTTTAAAGGTGTCACTCATTTTGTTGACAGGAATTCTATAGCTAGAATAGATTTCTCTTGCAAAATAGATATTTTGGTTTTAATTCAGGCTATTGAAGGATAAGACATCTTTGCCAGGAAGCTTGTTAGGTTCAGTTTTGGTCTCAGTGACTATAGCAACAATGTCTTGAGTGTCATTTTATTTCCCCAATTATCACTTCAACATAATTCCCTTTATTAAAGTAAGGAATAGACTCTCTCTTCCACCTGAGAAAGGACCCCCAGAATGCAGTCCTGGTAGTCACACTGAGATTAGGGGCGGAGGTAATTTCTAACTCTACATTCTCCTGGCAGAAAACTTGTCAGGTATGAAGTAGATCAGAAACCTGCTGTTCGTATCTGGCTGCCAGGATCTTCTGCGCTAACACTCAAGCTGATTTTAAAGGCAAATCTGGGACAATCTAAGATGCGGTACTTTGAAAATGCAAGGCAGGTGTACATACCTGTCTAGGTCTGCATTTCCCAGAAGCAGAGCCCAAGGCAAAGGCTTATGTGCTACTCCTTATTAAGCAGTTCAATCCCAGGGAAGTAGAGGTGACAGAAAAGGGAGAGTTGGTGTCAAGCATGGCTGACTGCTCATTCCCAAAGGTGAGCCCTCTGAGCAGAGCTGGAGACAGCATCCCAAGGTCATCTGTCCTCAGAGGGAGCTCATCTGTACAGGTTCCATCTCTCATTGGTAAAAAGCTCACTCTACAGGGGATAACTTTGCCCCACACAAAAATAATTGTTGAGCTGTGCTAGGCACAACAGCAGATCTCAAAGCAGATTAATGACTCCCATGAACAGGAAGACCTCGAGAGGAACTGGAAAGGATACGGTGGGGCAGGAAGTCAAGGGTCCTATGAAATTGTGCCCTTCTGAAGTTGGCTGGAGTCCTTGAGAAAATGTTTGCTGGAGTAGATCAGGGGACTGAAAGTCCTAGAGACAGATGAGAATGTGGGTAGAATCTAAATGGTTCATGAAAGGCATCTAAAATGACATAACTGGCTTTCCAGAACTTTCATCTATACATGTCTTATATGACCCTCTAATTGCAAGGTCCCATCACGCTTTCAGGAGAACATTTGCTGTGAGACAGTATGAATAACTGAACAATTTTTTGTTAGAAATGGATATAACTCTATCAAGGAGAATGCAAGTAAGTGTAAACATGAAAGGGTTCTGACATTCCAGTACCTTCTCTGTACCTGGCTCTGTTGAATGCTCTTCCCCACCTGAAGTCTGGATTTCCCTAATGACATTTCAGTCCAAACCCATAGCTCTTCAACCCTTGGCAGCTATCAAATCCATCTCATTTTAGTTCAGTCCTATTTGTTTTATTTCAATTGCAAATTCAACACAAAACACACCCTGCTCACCTCCCACAGGTCCAGACCAAACTTGACATGTTCTGGAAGTGTGGTAACCTCTCCCTGACACTCCTTTTCTGTGTTCTTCCCTCTGCTGTTGGCCTGGAAGAAAATAGGAAAATGGCATTTGCTCCTTAAAGGCCTAGTAGACACATAGATCCTTTCTCCTTGGTCAGTCTTAACTACTTTTCTGACTGTTTTCTATGGTCTGGTTATGGATGAGTGGTCTCAAAAGGCCTTGTGGATATGAGGTTGACTTTAAAACTGGTTCTGGGGTGTCTGGGGCCCCTTAAAAGAAGCAGTCACATCCTGAGAATGACCCCGGGAGACAACAAAAGCTGAACTCCTGGGAGGCCTGGGCTCTTTGTTTCTTGGTTGTGGACCCTGTTGAGCTCACTCCCACCCCTCAACTATAGAATGATCATAATCCTGGAATCTGTGGAAATGAGTGGAATCTTATTTTCTTTTACCTCCAAGAATAGAAAAATTGAAAGGGATGGTCCTCGTTCCTTATCGGGTCCTTTCTCCTCTCTCCCAGGGTTCTTTGTCAAGTTCAAATCAGAGGTTGACATATCAGCCCACCTCTTTTAAAGACATTTCCAGTTGCAGAACTGATTCTCCCCAGGCCAGCTCTTTCTACTTGTCTAGGAGCTCATTCACGCGGGAAACAAAGGTGTGGCACAGCAGCTTTTATTATGCTACTTTTCTATTTAAAAAAGACTATTCCATTCTCTCCAAGTCCTCTGTTAGATGGGAGATCAGGTGGGGAGGGTACTGGGTTGGCATTGGTAATGGTGTGTGGAACCTGCTGAAGTGTTGGCTCTTGGCAAGCAGCATTGGAATGTTGCTATCCCTTCCAGCAAGCCATTCTCTAGACTTACAATGTGGGAAACTAGTGGTTTTGTTTTCTGTGGTAGCTATCAGTGCCAATCGGCCTGAGAAAAAAGTCCCACTTGGGCACTTCTCTTCATCCTGTCACAGAAATATCTCTAGTCAATTGCTTTTTTAAAAATAAGTTATTAGTAACTCTTGTACCTTTGGGGGTGATCTTCAGCCTCTATGGATTTGTCTGTTTTTTAAATGTTTTCATGTCTTGGTGAAGATGATTTTTGCTGCTTGTTACTTTATCATTTAGTTCATTTTTAGGCACTTATCCCAGACCTTCACTGTGGGAATTTTGGCCATCACAGGCAGTGGAGCCAAGGATGGGAAGGGCCCATACTATCTGCCTTGGTCACTTTCTTGTCTCTGGGAGATAATACCTAGTAAACACAACTTAAAGAAGTTTATTTTGGCTCAAAGTTTTTATAAGTTTCAGTTCATGGTTGGCTGGCTCCAAGGCAGGAAGGGCATGGTAGAAAAGTCTGGCAGAGAAAAGCTGCTCACATGGTGGCCAGGAAGGGGAGACATTAAACCCTTTCAGGTAATGCTCCCACTAACCTGCCTCCAGCCAGGCCTCACCTCAACTGCAATCAACTGCAAGTCAGCCACAGGGACCCATGATCCAATCACATTCCACAAGCCCCCACCTCTGAGCACCTGAGGCTTTGGACAGACATTCCAGATCCAAACCACAGCACCATCCCTTTCTGGAAATTTTCTGAAAGGACCACAAAGCCACTGTGCTGAGATCAGAACCCAGTTCCAAGGCCCTCTAGCTCCAGGGAGGCTGGAAGAGGGATCCACTGTTGCCTTAAAGACCCAAGATGGTGATGTGGTCAACTCGAGTCTCCACCTCATCTCCAAAGCATGAAAATTTCAGATCATTCTTAAATTTATAGCTTTTGACAATTTCTCAAATTTTGCTTATTTAAAAAGCAGTAAATATTTCATGAACTCAGTTCTCTCCATGATTCTGGTCACAAACCAAACTGGCCGAGAGCTGAATAAAATTTCCACATAAGATCTACATTGAACCTAACCATTGAATATGATTTAGTTCTCATCCAACTCTGTGTGTGACCAAAATGGTAGAAAGGATCAAGTTTGTGAACCAAGGTACCGCTGTATTTAAGGGTAAAAATGCAACCATAAAGAAATCAAATTAGAAGGAATCAAGGTATACATTATCCAGATTTTTTCTTAGGTGTATATATGTATGTATATATTTCTGTAAGGTTACATTTTATAACTGAGTCTTGATAAATAGCTAATTTAGGGAAATGACTAAGGATTTTCATACTTTGAAGTATACTGTAATTCATCTATGATTGGACATGGAGTTATTCCAACTAATTTTTTTGCTATACATTTAAGATGTTTCCAGCTTTTCATTATCCTACACAGTGTAGAACTAGAATGATTGTTTAAAAATTAATTTCAAATTTAAAATATCAAAATAAAAAAAGCTCACTGTATTTAAAAAGGGACAGGAGACAAAGTGCCAAACAAATGCATTAAACAAATGAAAAACCAATAACTTGAAAAACATTCCTTTTGGCCGAAACTATCTTTATTGGCCAACCATGTTTGCTCCAATTGCTTTTGCTTCAATTGCTTTCACTAAATCACCTGGAGCTGAGTTAAATGATTCTCTTGGAAGGCGTTTAGGGTTTGGTGACCCATCTTAACGTCATCCTTTTCCTTAGAAAAGTGTTCAAGGTAGCAAAATGTGCTACTGCTCTTGCAGTCAGAAAAGAGTACGCATTTGAGACACCTTTTTATTTCCTCATGTCTTATGTTTTGCTCAAAGGGATTCTAAAAAGTTTGGAACACATCTTCTGGGTACAATTCTCAGAAGAAATTTTCTGGTGTTCCTCAGATGCCTAGCAGATCCACCTGACCCCAGCCCTGAGCTTCTAGGAGGAGGAGGCTCTCAGGCGTCACACACTTGGGTCAGAAATGGAGAACAGGCTGCTGTTTTTCCTTAGCTTTTATCAGGACTTCCCTGAAGCTAAACTAAGTGTAAACTCTTAGGCTCACATGTAGTCATTTCACCAAAACAACATTGTAAGGTGGTAATCTAGCTTCACTTTTCTTTCTGCCTTAATCTCATTAATGCTAGTAATAGCTGCTGTCAAAAGTGGCCAGAAGTTAATACTGGGGATAAATGGACCAACCTGAGTCCCACTCATCAAGTTGGTGCAGCTGATGGGAAACACGAAGGCAATTCTAGGCCATGCCAGCCCATCTACCCAGGTTCCCTGAGGGATTAGGTTCTGCAGGATAGCTGTGGAGATCTGAAAGGGCACCATTTTAAACATCAAGTTCTGTTTTAGTCACTTGAAATGGTAGTCTTTTCCAAAATTCACTTCACACTATCCTCCTTAAATGATCAAAAATAGTGAATATTTTTTTAAAAATTTGTAAGACAAATTGCCATTAATCATTCTCAAAATACACTCCCTTGCTTCAAACACACCCATCTCATTGTTCTTACCACTTTCTGAACCATTTCTAGAAATTTTCATGTGTCTTTAACAAGATATGATAAACAACATAAGGCAGCCTCATAAAAACATTGTGTTCTCAACCCACCTCATTCACTTGATCTGACACCATTTGACTTCTGGACCTTCCCCAAGGTCAATGACCATGAAAGGTAAACATTTTGAAACCTATTCAGGACATCGAGGCAGCTACAGCAGCACAACTAAAGACTCAGGTAACAGGACTTCCAGAACTGCTTCAGAAAGTGGCATAAATGATGGGATAAGTGTTTGAAGTGGAGTGTTTTGTGCGGGATTAATGGCAAGATGTCTTGTACTGCAATAAATTTTTAAACACATTTATCATGTCAAACATAATTAAACCTTTTCTTGATGGGGGTCATCTTACAAAATATCTTAAGTATTTGAAAGCCATTTTTTTGTGCTAGGCACTAAGGGCATAAAAATATAAGACAAAAAACCTATGGCAAAGAATCCAGTCTGCTGAAAGAAATAGAACTAATCAAGTAGTTACAAAATGTCCTGATGATTAAGTGAATTGTGAAAAGGATGGTTTGGGAATGCAGAAGGTAACATCTAACTTTCAGTATTGGCATGGAAAATCCTTAGAAATCCAGGTCAAAGGTTTTAAGCAACTTTTCTTCAAAAATAGTGAAGATGATGGAAGATGCTTCCATGCTGAGAGGACACCCATAAACCTCCAACTTGAAGACATGCTTAGGGGAACTTCCCAGAGTGTGGGGAGTGTGCACTGGTGAAGGACGGGAGTCCGGACCAAGTCTGGGGGTTGGTGTTGTCATGCTTGAAGGGTCCGAATATGACCCCAAAGCTCTTTCACAGAAAATAACCCTATAACACTCGGGTTTAAAAAAATCTAATGTCAGGAGGAGGAAGGATTTGAGCTCAGTGATTCCGCCGCCTGTGTTGCAAGCGCAAGGTCCTAAGTTCGATCCCCGGTACCAAAAAAACCACCTAATTGTCATTTTTAGGTGGTATATGATAAAGAAATAGTTCTGAGTTTAATATACTAATCTAAAAATATTTAAGATTGCATTACAAGTTTCACTTTGCATTTTAAAATTATTAAAGATTACATAGTTTCATTTAACAAGCAATAAATGATCCTTAATTTACCTTATGTAAGGAAGGGTATGGTTTCTTGAGCAACACATTTAAAACTAACATTTTATGTGTTTTCAGACTGAATACACCTAATATAGAATGATTTTTTACTACATTTTACAGTGGCAAAAATAGATATTAGGTCAGGAAAAACAGTTTTAATGTTGGAATGTTTGCTTTGGCCATTAAAAACAAACCTGGTTTATTTTTGAAGCATTCATGTTTATTTCTAAATGATGCATTTATAAGGGAGTTTCAGACTTTTTCCCCAGCTCTTCCCAGAAAGAACACATTACAGGTATTAATGGCCTCTATTGCCAATAAGACGCAAACTTTCACATAACAGTCATTATTTTTCTTTCAGCATCAGATATCAAGTGCTATATAAAAGCATTACAATATAATAATTCTAGATCTGATAGAATCAAAATTTAGAGAGTGTTCTTATGTCTTCATTAGCTTGTTGCTTTTCATTGTGGGATTCTTAATGCTTCCCATCTAATCTATCCTGGATATAAATTTTTAAACATATGACCAAAAATAAGAACAACTTAAAACAGTATAATGGCTAAAACCCTCACAATGCATAGCAAGGGTTCCATGACATCCTGGCTGAGTAAAAGCATCACTACTTCTGTCTCCGTTTATAAAGGGATTGAGCGATTCTGCTTTAACAGGAATAATTAAGTCATTCCAACACAGATTTCAAATTTAGAAAACAAAAGCAAAAAGAAAATAAGAAAAAAAGCTTTATGAGTTCTGCAACGTCTGGAAACATCACCTGTTTGGGAAATACTGCTTTAGAAAGATTTTAAGCACATTGTTGTGCATTTCAAATGATCTTTCTGGCAACAACCATGGGGATGAATTAAGGACAGATGAGCCTGAAGCCAGAGTGACCAGGAAAGAAAGCTAATGAAATGATCCCAGCAAAAATAAAAACAGTCTGTGCCTGGACAAGGGCCAATGGAATAATACTATATCAGGTCAACAGAAAGAATCTAGAAACTGGAAAAGTTTTGTCTCTAATTCTACACTTATTCATTAGGAACAACTTGAAGTGTCTCAGCTATTTGCCCTAAATGGCCCCCATGGTTCTGTGGATATTGATAGTCATGACTATTTTTTAATTATGCTTTTCCCCTTCCCTTGCATTCATTGTTTAGTACATTCTGACTTCCTACAGCCTAAAACTACTCCTTCTGTTAAGCAATTGTGTGAGAGTCCATGGATTTGGACTGGGTCCCTGCACTGGACCCAACAGACCAACAATTTAACAGTAACTTTTGCTGGTTGCAAAAGGTCCTACAGCCAATTAACTGATTGTAGTCTGTAAACAGTTCACTATTAAGCTGTAACCAACTGAACAATTGACTAAGCTATAGCCAAGTAAAGTGTTTCTATGTCTCACTTGTTTTTCTGGAAATGTTGTCAGATCACATTGTTAAAGTTCTTAGAATTTGCTCTGGCTCCAGAACCTGCCAATTTGAGTCGTTTTTGTTTGCTTGGCTCAAGTAAATGTTACTAAATTTGTCTGGAGGAACTTTGCCTTTTAATATTCTTTTAATTCTAACCTGTTCTGGGTTCAGAAAATATCCAGTTAGAATCAGTATGGTGCAATAGTAGCTAAGGTAGTGCTGTGAGATTCAGCAGCATTCCTCAAAAAAAAAAATCGGTCCTGGTGTGGTTTTTTTGTTTTGTTTTGTTTTTAATCTATTGATATGTGCTCTTTCTTAATAGCATTCTCAGTTTGGGACCTATTCTACTTGTTCCTCTGGAAACAGACCCAAAAATGAGAATTCAAGAGTGAATTGTTTCTATGAGTGAAGGAAACACCAGCAGGGAGGTAAAGTTTTTCCATGTCTCTCGTTGATGTACCAAGTGCAAAATAAATGCAGATGTGTTTTCAGCTTTTACTTTATAACTGCGTATGGGTCACCACAGCAACAGAGAAAAGACTGCCAACCATGTTTTTATTTTAGTTGCAAAGAAAGATCAAGGCGTGAGAATTACTGGTTTTCCAAGAAATAGTAATGAACACCTGAAGAGGGCATCCTTGAAGGTAACAGATTTTAAAATGAGAAATTGGGAGAGAAATTTAGCCTGTATTCCACCCTGAGTAAGGCCAGCCATGTCTCCACCTTGGAAAAGCAATGACAGAGACACTCTAGCCTCACAGAAGCAGGTCAGTGAGAGCTTTTATAATCCTATGCTCTCCTCAGTTTGTGCAAACCTTTCATAAGGCCCCAACCATTGGGTAGTCCTACCTTATCTGGGAGGCTGACGGTTACCTAGTCAATATGGGGCTATAACTTGTAATTCTTCCTAAAAGCATTCAAGAACAGAGGCACTTTTTAAAAATAGACAAGTTTTAAAGAAAAGTTTTAGGTTTACAAAAATTGAGAAAAACAGAAATTTCCCTTACATTCTCTGCCCCTACAGAGCCTCTCCATTTATCAACATCCCCTTACCAGAATGGCACATTCGTTACAACTGAACCTACACTGATGTGTCATCCTTACCCAGAGTCCATAGTTTACCTCGGGGTTCACTCTTGGTGCTGTGCATTCTATAGGGCTGGACAAACAACATAACCTGTACCCACCCCCTGCCCATTATAGTGTCATACAGAGTATTTTCACTGCACTAAAATCTTTTTAGTCCAATCTTATTCTATAAAAACCTTGATCATCAGGAGAGAGGGTCATCCCTGGATCAGGTTGACGATCCTCCCAGAAAGGGGAATTTTTAACTAAGATTGAATCATTCTCCACAGCTTGTTCAACCCCTTGAAAAACAAATGCTCCTCTGGGTTATTGCAAACTGCCTTTCTGCCATCTACCCTCATAAAATCAAAGTAACACTCACCACCCCATGGTAAAAGCTATTTGCTACATAGGATCAGAAACTACTAACTGAAAACTCAACATCCGTTTTTCCTCCTCCCTTACTAACAACCCTAGTTTTATTCCTGGCTACAAAAGACTACATTTCCCAATCTCCCTTGCATATAGATGTGGCCACGTGATTTTAAGGTATTAAGATCTGACCAAGATGTATATGGAACTGTAAGGTGACTCTTGGGTTTTTTTAATTTTAAAAACTACATGTTTGCAGTATATAATGATTACATTTCTCATGGGGAGTTGTCACATGTATATAACACATCTTAATTCTCCTTCCCCTTCCACTCCACTCCTCCCACCCTTCTCCTTCATCTTTTGTGTTGTCTGAGAACGCAGACATGATGTCACAATGGTCACAGCTCATTCGGCTGCCGACTGAGATGGCCTTGAAGGTACAGGGAACATGGATGGAGAAACTTCTTTTCCTTTCCATCATTTTGTCTCACATTAAAGAAAATGACTTTCAGTGATGAAACACCCACTTTTCTACCATCTTATCTTTCTAGTGTTGAGATGAGTTTTGCCTGAGTTAACAATATTGTAAGCAATTGATTAAATTTAGATGCATCTGTTTCCCAAAGGAATTGCTCAATAAAAATCAGACATGGGATTAAAAATCTTGAGATCATTTAATCTAACCTCTTAGGGTTTGCAGAAATTGTATCAGAAAAGTAAACCTCTATGAAGAGCCAAATGTCATTTTCTTATTTAAATTAATACATGCCATAGATTTTATGAATTTGAATACATGTATTGATTTCTATAACTGCCACTGATCAGGATACAGAATAATTTTATCCAAAGAAATGCTTGCTATAACCTGTGTAATTACACCTACCACCTATCCCTACTGCTGTTACCCAGAGTGGCTTCTTTCATTTAGCCTGATGCCTCGAAGAATCAGTTTGTTGTATGCATCAGTAATTGTCTTTTTCAGTGTTGGATAAAATCCTATTGTATAACATATCACTATTCATCTTCTGAGGGACATTTGGGTTGTTTCCATTTTGGGGGGATTTTGAATAGAACTGCTATGAACAAAGTTTACATTTTTCCAGGTGTCTACCTAGGAGAGCTACTGCTGGGTCATGACATAAGTATATTTTTAACTTTACAAAAAACTGCCAAGTTACTTTATAGCAAAATTGTCTCACCTTGCATATCTACCAGCAATGTATGATAGTTCCAGTTGCCCCGCATATTTGCCAAAACTATGTAGTGTCAACATGTTTTAATAAGTGTGTAGTGATAGCACATCATGGTTTAAATATCCATTTTCCCATTGAACATTTTTTCATGTACTTATCATCTTTATGTGCTGTTTGATGAAATACTTTTGAAGTCATTGCCCATTTATTTGATCTCATTAACTATTGAAAGCTGCTTATATACTCTGTATGCTTTGATATCATGTCCCAATGTGTAGTATTGTCATTCTGTTAACGACATTAGAGCAAAAGTTTTCATGAAGTCTAACAATATTTTCTACTGTGGATTATGATTTTAGTGGCATATCTGAGTTCTTTCCCTAATCCGAGGACAAGATTTTTTTTCCTTTTTCTTTGTATGTGTTGACAGACTCATATATAGTCCACGCTGGCCTAGAACTCTCAATCCTCCTACCTTGGTCTTCTAAGTGCTGGGATTACAGGTGTGTTCTACCATGCCTGGCTCTGAATTTGAAAGGAAAAAACAGTTTTATTTGAGTTCAGTTTTGTATTTTTGGTTTTGTTTGCAAATCAAAATTCAATCATTTGAAATAGAGCTATACAAATATAACTGATTTTGGATAGCGGCTCAAAAGCAATTCAATGGAGAAGGGATCATCTTTTCAATAAACACCATTACACGCTCCTTGGCCTGGTCTATTCTATTCTCTATCCCTTCACCAGTACCTCACTGTCAGGATCTCTATAATTGTTATAGTAAGTCTTAAAATTGTTTAGTATGAATCCTTAATTTTTTTTGCAAAGTTATTTTGCCTGTACTAGTCCCTTTGTTATTGAATAAGATTGTTCACAGCTATAGAAAGTCCTTCTAGGATCTTTATTGGGATTCTATTAAACCTGCAGGTCAATTTTGGGGAGAATAGATATTTTTGCTGTTTAGAACTTCAATCCATGTACATGGTATATCTGCTGCTGGGGTTTTTTTGTTTTTTGTAGGAGGAGAGGCCTTCATTGTCTTTCAAAAGAGCTTCATAGTTTTCAGAATACAGAGGCCATACATGTTTCGTTAGATTAATACATCTGTCTGTGTCTTTGTAAATTGTATTTTTGGTGGTTTTTTCTTTTTTTGGTACTGGGGATCAAACTCAGGACTTTGCTCTTGTGAGGCAGACACCGGAACCACTGAGCTAAATCCCTGGCCCTATTTTTGTTTTAATTGTTCATTGTTAGTATAAAAATATGACTAAGATTATTAATTGACCTGCATCCTGCTGTATCACTGAGGGCTTTCTCACTTGGTCAGTGTCAAAACTAGAAAGTCCCAGGAAGCCCAGGACAAAGTGGTTATTATGTTTTTTTGTTTTCTGTTTGTCTTCTTTCCTTTGATAATCTTGCTAACTGATTTATCAATACTATTGATCATTTCCACAAACTAGTTTTTAATTTTGTTTTTTTGTTTCCAATTTCATTGACTTTCCTTGTCTAAAGCACAGAATTCCACAAATCTTATTATATTTTCACTTTCAGTTCAAAATATTTCCTAATGGTCTTTGAGACATTTTTCCTGGATTATTTCAAAGTATATAATTTAATTTTTCATGTCTTCCCAGTTTTTGTTATTTCTACTTTAATCCTATTATGATTAGAGAACATACCTATGACTTCTATTTTCTCAAATTTGCTAATTGTAATTCTAAATCTGCTAAGGCTTCTTTCATGATCCAGGATATGGTCTATTTTAGTAAATGTTCCAAGAGCTCTTGAAAAGATATGAGCTTCAGGCCTTGCCCAACCACTGACAGCAATGTGACATCCAGGAAATCACCCTGTCCAGTGTGGGCTTTAGTTTCCATATCTATAGAGATAAAAGAATGAACTGGATCATCTTTTAACACCACCACCCTTGTATGAGCAAACAAAATGAGCCCACTTCCTGCCTCCTGCCACAACTCAGAACAATTTTATCTGCTCCTAAATGAACAAACAAGATGTAAACAACCTGCCTTTAGTTACTGTTATGGTTTATATCTAGGTGACCCCCTAGAGTCTCATGTGCTCATGGTGGTGGGGCTTTTCAAGATGAGTGGATTATAAGTGTTTATATCTGTTAGGCCAGGTCTGGTCTGAAGAGGCGGGTTACCTGGGGAATGGCCTGAAAGGGTTTATCTCCCTCTCCCGCTCCATCCTTCATACTGTCTGCCCTACAGCCCTGCCTTAGAACCTGTGGACCATGCAAGGACTGAGTCTTCTAAAACAGCCGAAATAAACCTCTCCTCCTCTTTAAATTGAGGATGTCTGATACTGTGTCCCAGCAACAAAGTAACTAAGACAAATGAACCACGGGGAATTTGGGGAACTGCTTACAAAACATAGATTCCTTCCTACCAGGCAGACTGCATATTACCTAATAGAAAGAAAGATGTGGACCCATTTAGTTATTTCTGAACCTGTAAAGATACTGCATCTTCAGTTTACTGTTCACTGGCCTTAGCGATCCAATTTCTTTTCTGATTCAGGATTAAAGAACTGATTCCACAATCTGCTTGGGAAAGTGCCAACACTCTAGGCTTTTCCTGGTTGAAAAGAATAGTGTGGTTTATTGGCCCAGTGAGACTGCTGCTGGTTCCTCCACAAACCAAACCAGCCAAGCATGTTATAACCTACAGGTCCTGGAGCCAGCAGACCAGGACTCTTTAGCAACATGTACTTGGTCCTTTCTCTTCCTTGTCCATTGCAAATCATTCTCTTTTCAAATATTTCACCAGAAAACA